GTACTACCGGACGGCGGTCCAGTACGGCGCCGATAACACGGGCATCCAGGACTCGTCTGATGCCTTCAACTTTGCCATTGAAGGTGAGATACTACCTGGCCTTTCTTTTAACTCATGCTTCGATATATACATCCTCCAACTCATCTAAGGGGAAAAGATATTGTTGAAATCATGTAACTGACAAAAAACCGTACAAACAGCATGGAGCCGCACAGGTAACACGGTAACAACCCGCCCAGCCTACATCTACGTCCCACCCGGCCGGTACCGCATCAAGAAGCCGATCCAGATGCTCGTGACGACTTACCTCGTCGGCGACGCCCTCAACCCGCCCGTGCTCATCGCCGATCCGGCGCTCGGCGAGCAACCCGTGATCAACGGGTATGACTCCCACCAGGGCGACGGGTCCGCGACAAAGAACTTCTACATGGCGGTGCGGAACTTGGTGATTGACACCACCGAGATTGGCACCGGCGTCGCGGCCGTCGGGATGGACTGGAGCGTGTCGCAGGGGTGCTCGTTGACGAATGTCAAAGTGCGCATGCCGAATTTCTCGAGCCATGTTGGTGTTACTATGGCGCAGGGCGGTTCTGGAATCTTGATCAGCGATTGTGTGAGTCTCTCTCTCCTTTTCTTCGTCTTCCTTTCTCTCTTTTGGTTGTGAACAGCCTTTCCCCGGCTTGAAATGCATCGAGGAAGCCCTCGAGTTTTCCGAAGAAACTAACAGTGCGCCCAGCAATTCGAAGGCGGCGCCATCGGCATCAAAGTCAACGGCCAGCAATACCAATTCAAGAACCTTTCCTTCAACGGCTGCAACGTCGGCATCTCCGTCGACCACGTCTGGGTCGCCGTCGTCCAGGGCGCCACCTTCGCAAACTGCAACTTTGGCATCGACATGGGCCGCAACACGGCGGGCATGGTTTCCGTCGTCGATTCCAGGGTAGAATCCTCCTGCAACGCCGGCGTCAACAGCCTCGTGACGGGCTACGGCCAGAATTCTCTGGTCCTCGACAACTTCCAGGTTGGCGGCGAGAGCACCGCGGCCGTCAAGTCTGCGAGCGATGGATCGACGCTACGCAAGGACTCTGTGACGGCCGGGCAGACGTGGGTCATGGGGTACGTCAACTCGAATAACCTGCAAAAGGGAACCGTGTACCCCATTGACCGGCCCGCCGCGCTGGTTTCCGGGGACAAGTACTTTACCGCGCCGCTGCCGCAGTATGAGAAGTATGCGCTGGATCAGTTTGTGAGTTTGAAGGGCGATGCGCAGTACCCCGTGTACGGTGACAACAGCCACAATGACGGGCCGAGCATCAACGCCATCTTGCAAAAGTACAAGGGGTGCAAGATCATCTTCGTGCCGCAGGGCATCTACCGCACCGAGGAGACGATCTATGTGCCCCCCGGAACAAGACTGGTCGGTGAGACGCTTAGCATCATCAACGGTAGGTCATGTCTGAGCCACTAGAGTCCCGTGAAACCGGTTACTGACTTGAGAATAGGCATCGGATCAAAGTTTTGGAACCCGGACGACCCTCAGCCCATCCTCAAGGTCGGCAACCCCGGCGAGACGGGCGTCGCCCAAATCACCGACATCACGGTCGAGGTAGCCGACGTCCTCCAGGGCGCGACCCTAGTCCAGATCAACATGGCCGGCGCGCGGCCCGGCGACGTCGGCATCTGGAGCAGCGTCTTCCGCGTCGGCGGCACGAAGCACTCGCTCACCAACACGAACTGCGGCGGCGCGGACCCGGGCGCGTGCAAGGCCGCCTTTGCGCTCATGCACGTCACCTCCACGGCGAGTGCGTACCTCGAGAACGTGTGGGGCTGGGTGGCGGACCACTCGCTCGACGGCGGTGCCGCGCAGAACATTGCCGTCGGCAGGGGCGCGCTCATCGAGAGCACCAAGCCCACGTGGCTGGTGGGAACGAGCTTCGAGCACTGCGTCTTGTATCAGTATAACCTCCACAACGCGCAGAATGTGTACATCAGCTTGGAGCAGACGGAGTCTGCGTATTGGCAGGGTGAGGGGACTCCCCAGAGAGCGCCCAGCCCGTGGTCGTAAGTCAATCCCCGCCACAATCCATGGCTTCATGCTCTTGGTCCAAAATGTGTCAATACTCTGGATGGCTAATTCTCTTCGGCCACAGCGTAAAACCAGCTTTCGGTGACCCGGATTTCAGCAACTGCGCAGCCCAGGGACAAGGCAACAACGACCGATGCTACCGATCGTGGGGTCACTACATGACGGGCAGCTCCAAGGTGGTGATCCACGGCTCCGCGCTGTGGGTGTTCTTCAACAAGATGAACGACAACCAGTGGCAGAACGCGCAGTGCGAGAACACGGGCGGCAACTGCATGACCAACCAGGCTTACGCTGACGGCGCCAAGTCGACGTACTGGTTCGGCCTGAGCACCAAGAGCACCACCGCGCTGCTGTACGACAAGACTGGGGGCGTCATCTGGGAGGTGTTTGCGAGCGATAACACTGGTGGATGGGGAGGCGTCCTTGCCGCGTATCTTCGGGATACGGCAGCTTGAAAGCCTAGGGAAGGCTAAGTGGCGTCTTGTGGTATAATTGAGACTTCGTGTAAATAATGGGGGGAGGATGTAGATTTGGAATTCAAGATCCAAGGAAAGATGTCCAGCGGCAAAAGTTCTTGCGTATATGGGAACTCAACTGCGCCTAAAGTGGACGTAGAAAAGGACTATGATAAGTGTCAACAAATGATGGCCACGATATGTCCAATGCTCATTGACTTGCCGTTGAGATATCGGGGACAATATATACGATCGCAGGTCAGACGACTTAGTAGAGCAGGTTTTTGCTGGGCGTACATCGTCCGCTGCAGCTCGAGGTCACTCATCAAGCAGACAAGATTTAACAGGAGGACGGCTTGACAGTGCGTCTCTCCCCACATCAATCGTCTTGTTCATTCAAGTGGACTTCGCAGTGCGTTCCGATTCAACTGGTGGACTCGGCAACCGTTGCGAACATGTCAGGTCAACATACACGTTGCGGAGAAAGATGTTGGACAAGTCAACGGGATGTTGAGGATGATTCGCCGCGGCCTTGTCAGCTGTAGTATGTTCGGCCGCTAGCGTGGCTTTGACTTGAACATTAATGGCAAATGCGGTTTAGCCAACGTATCTGCATCGGGAGGTAATAGTATTGACGGCTCTTCCTGGAGTTCAGACAGGGGTTCGCATGTTGTGGCACCAATGGGCGGATGAGGCACGTTTCGACGCAGCACCTTGGTAGCATATCCGCACAAACAGTACTCAAAGCCGGGGTCGGACGAACTGCCAAACTCCCGAAACGTTGATCAACCCGTGCCGTACGAGGTCTTTCAGCCTCTTTCGATGGTGGTTTCGAGCCGAGGTCCCCTTCTGTGCCTGGATCTTGATGTGTGCCTGGGGCTTTTGTTCTCATGCACACTACATGACAGCTCACCGCACTCGGACTCGTTCTCGTGGGTGCTGCCCCAATCCGGAGCAAGGGCTTCTGGGGTGTTACCCCAATTTGACTTCCCTCGGCTGCTGTCAGATTGAAGAGAAGCTTGGGACGAATGTTGGGGATCTGCAGCATCTGACTGGCCATCAACGAGAGAGGTCGCAATCAAAGATCGTGGCGAACCATCAGGGAAGCAAAGCATGAATTGAGTCCGAATGCGGAAAGCGATTCGGGTGTTGTAAGGTCGTCTGAAGCTTGTTTCGGGGAGAAATGAACCATAGAGTCGGGATGTCTTGCATTGTTATGTATGTGCCGTCTTGTTTTGGACCTTTGATCGAACTTGATCGAGTCTTGTTTCCCTCGTGTTTTCCTTTGGAGCCTCGGTCACTACGAGACATGACGAACGCTACCTGGAGCACAGCGAAGAACGGGGGTTGTTCCCTGCGGCATGTAGCTGGCATGTAACCGGCAAGGCGCTCAAGACAGTCGTTGGCGAGGGCCGGAATCAAATCCATGGCAATAGGTAATGGGATCAGCGCCCCCATGGATCGTTGTCACTGTCCAGCGCCGGTAGACTTGAAGCATGCTGTGGAATCGAGGTAGATAGTGCAACATGGGTGTGGGCGTGGGCATTGCAGGTTCAAAATGAACGAAAGCAATGTCTTCTGTGGCGCTGTGGCTGGGGCACTCTGGTCACAGTTCGTGAATCGGAAACCGTATCGAAGATGGCTATTCTAGAACCCAACTGTCAAGGTTGATGATGAGTGGTAAAGGACGAGTGGCTACGTTTGATGTGTGTCCCGTCGTAGCAGCGCCTGTGCTCCGTTCGATTGTGGCCGCCTGCCATCCGTGACACCCTCATCATGGAAAGTCCAGCAAGGTAAGGTACGGATTACCTCAAAGGTCGAAGTAACCGTAAATGAGGAAACGAAGTATCCACGAGTCTCCGTTGGCGCTACCGCGGTGCGTTTCTCCAGCGGCCCAATGCGCGCCAGTCGGCCCCCATGAAATGGAACTGGCATGAAGCGTGCGGGAGTGGAAGAAGAATCCCCCAAGAAGGCAGAATAAGTGCAGGGGTGCGGTGGATATGGCTGCACCTGGCTGGGGTCAGGTAGGTTCCTTCCACACGGAATACGGTTAGGAACTTAGGTGGACCATGGGGAAGAACGACCCACTAATTCCCTAAGGTTGCTACCTTACCTACCTCAAGCAGTGAGGACACGCGCGGGCACATGACGCCCTGCCGTGTGCTGCTAAATCGCCGAGGTTCACATGCGACGACTGAGCGTCATTGCTGCGGTGCGCTTAGCCAAGTAGCTTTCCATCACTCCGCCTCCGTTCCTCTCTATTTCTTTATTCCTCCGTCCGACGACCCCAACCTCCGACGCACGGCTTACCGTTGACACCTTTTTGTTCACTACTTAAACTATCCCGAGTCCCTTCCCCCACGTTTCGGCAATCTTTTCGCGATCTATCACATCCAACTGTCAATCATATATACCATCTCGACTCATTTCACACCAAGTATCTCTATCCTGAAACCACAATGGGTCTCGCCAACGGTACGTGACTCTCCAACAGGATGTCTCGGTCTCGGTCTCAATCGTTCCCAGCACTGACTCTGGCTGCTTTCCTCTAGACAAGTTCCCTTCCTCGGCCGCCTTCGACGCCATCAACGATGCGCTCGGCTCCAGCGAGCCCGACCGCAAGGACGCCATCAAGCAGGGCAACGCCATCTTCGCCTTCACCCTGAAGAACTCTGCCGGCGAGACCGACAGCTGGCACATTGACCTCAAGGAGAAGGGCGCGGTCGCCAAGGGCACCGGCGAGAAGCCCACCGGTATGTCACCCGCGCGTGGAGTGCTTCCCTCTCGAATACAGCCAGTTAATACTAGCCTCGACTCAGTCACCCTGTCTCTGTCCGACGCCGACTTTGGCAACCTCGTTCAGGGCAAGGCTAACGCCCAGAAGCTCTTCATGTCCGGCAAGCTCAAGATCAAGGGCGACGTCATGAAGGCCACCAGGATGGAGCCCATCCTGAAGAAGGCCCAGTCCAAGGCCAAGTTGTAAATGTGCGTCGCAATGGATATTGCGTTGTTGGTAATACCCTGTATCATAACCTACCAGTTGGGCCGGCAATTAGTGCTGGCACCTGGATGCGCGCCAAACGTAGCGTTGCCGTAGGAAATGAGACCATGATCAATCAATAAGCGCCTTGACAGTTATTCGTTGCCGTGAAGCTGACGGGTTATCCATTTGAAAAGTTGCGAGAGAGTCGGTATTGTTAATTTACACTTTATTCATTATGGTGTACGCCGTGGGGAAAGCATGTGATAGCCTCTGAGGCCGACTATCGTAGCGGGACATTGAAGGACGAAAGAATCTCTCGACGTCGGGACTGAACTATGGATATGCCCCTGGGGAAAAAAAGGCTGGCACTCTACGAATGTCAGGTTTTTTTTTTTTTTTTAAAAAAAAACGGACGTCCGATGCGCTTCATAGATCATCATTGTTTCCGTGACTTCGACCGCAACGTCAACGGTGCTGGACCTCAGATGGTGGAAATCCCCGAGTATTGCCGCCCCGAGTCAGGAGGCCCATCTGGGGTCGGAGCACCGGCGCCGCCATCTTCACGTGCATTCTGGGCTCCGGCCGTGGTGAGCCGGATCTAGCCAATAGTTGATTGGATACTATTAACCGTATGGAGAACAAGCCTGCGATGACCAGTCGATGCCCTTTATAAGCGTACCCATGACTTGAAGAGTGCCAGCGAGTAGACATGGCTAGATTTAGGCTGGATTACCAAAGCAGAAGCTACAGGGTCTCGGTACTTGTGAGTATTCTCGTGAGCGAGGCTGCAGTCCGATTTGGGGAACCGTGTTCCCCTGGTTTCAGTGTCGCAGTCGCACCAGCCAGACATACGTCTCTTGGTGCAGACGTAAAAGGGTCAGGACTGCAGCAGATTCGAAGGTGTGTGTTGCAGTCAAGCTGCACACCTGTCTCGTATGGTTGGATACGGGCCACATGGTGTGAGCTGACTCAGCAGACTCGAGGAAAACGCCTGGGCCAGCGAATGCTTCGTCGTACCTACGTTAATTACCTAAGGTTCATTGAGAAGGTACCACTGGGAAGGTACGTAGTGCTACTCGTAGCTTCCATTCGTTCGACTGGTTGAAAGCTGGAGGATCGTGACGCGGGACCTGAGGAAAGACCGGGTTCTGGGGAACGCCCTAGGAAAAATTGCAAGCGCCGACCACCAACCAGAAGCGCCCAGTCTCTGTCGCAGTTGCACCTGCCACTTCCTTCGTACTTTAGGTATCCGCAACTTGCGACCAATTGAGGGCGGTGACGCTGGCCTGAGGTTGAGTGACGGCAGAAAACTGACCCACTCTTTCCCGACCGTGCTCGCGCCCCCCTGCACTGAGGTGTGGCCTGGTTTTTTTCCCAATAGCTGGCCCCGTCACCCGTCGCCCGGTCGAGCCACACCAAAAATCATCCAGCACCAAAATCTTCCTGTGCTTTTGCCAGCCAGACTACCATCAAAGGCGTGTTGGATGCGCTGTTCAGCATCACTTTCTTGATCGCTGCGCCATCGCGTCTTGTTGCAGTCGAAGCTTCAGCCATCATTGAGTGTTTTTCTCAATCCAATCGCATCTACCCTCTAGCAGTTACTTCTCGCAGTTGCGCCTGCTTTCCTTTCCTTGCCCGCCTGGCTTTGTCTGCGAATCCTGCGTGAATCGAGACGCGACTCTCCCCCCGAGACCGAGTCGACCGGCGCAAACCTCATCACCAACGACTAAGTATAATCCAGAAATCGATTCTTTGGTCGTCGCACATCATCATGGACCAAAGAAACAGCACCCCGCGGCCCCGTCCGTCGCTCAAATTCGCGAACCGTAGCTACCAAGCTTCGCCTCTGAACCCGAACAAGCGACTCGGCACCCCCAAGACTGCTCCATCGCAGAGAGTCTGGAATCGCGACCCCATGCCATCGAGCAACCTCAACGCGAGCACCATCTCCACCGCGAGCAACCTCTTCCGCTCCTCTACTCTGAGCGCAAGCTCCAACACTACCCCCTTCGCTCCGAGCTTGCCCGCGAGCACCGCCAAGAAAGTCTTCGCGCCCGGCGCGACTCCGGCTTCTCAAAAGGTCTATCGAGAGAACATCGCCCAGGCGACTCCTCGCGGCATGGCAGCCAAATCAACCTCGGCCGATCTCTTCCAGATGCGCATCCCCTCCCCGCCTCCCGAATTGTCTGGCGAAGTCCTGGCGCGAGATATCCCCCCTGAGCTCGAAGCTAAGGGTACCGTGTACGCCGACCAGTACCTCAGCCACTTGGTTCCGGCCGAGTACGACGACTTGCAGCGCCGTCAGCTATTTTGCGTTCTCGATCTTCGCCGCCTGAAATATGCCGCCAACGAGATCTTCACCAAGAAGGATTGGAAGCTCAACATCATGAACTTTGCAAAGGAATTCGAAAAGAGCCGGAGCTTGATTATGCTCAGATATGGCTTGTACGAGTTCAAGAACGTCAAGCCCTCAGAGGAGGTTTTAAAGAAGTGGAGGTCCGCACATGGGTTGCCTGAGCCCGAGGAGGAAGTTGCGGATGCCAGCCCATCCAGGCAGACTACTCGTTCCAAGCGCAAGGCTGAAGATCAGCTGACTCCCAAGGACGCGGCCCTTTCGTCCGCGTCTCCCAATAAGAATAACAAGAGGCGCCTTGTAGACAGAGAGGATGAAGAGCCGGCGACGCCGGCTACGGTCAAGAACAAGAGGAAGGCAACTGTTGAGGATGAGTCGGATGAGAACCAGTCCAGCAAGTTGCAGAAGTCTACCTCGACACCCTCAGCTACCAAGAGCATGTTCGAAAAGATTGCCAACAACCAAGGCCCTTCTTCAACGCCCAAGGCCGCACCTGCCCCTGCCTCCGCCCCCAAGGCTGCGGAAGCCAAGCCCAGCAACCTCTTCGGAGCGGCACCCAAGCCCGCCAACAACGACCTGTCGCGCTCTGTTTTCGAGAAACAGCTCAAGCCTGCCCAGGCATCCAACATCTTTGGCTACCTGTCTGATGCTAGTTCGGCAAAGAACAGCGGTGTGGAGGCCGACGCAGAGAGTGAGACTGATTCCGATGACGAGGCGGAACCCAGCGTTGCCGCTAGTGGTGGTGCCGAAACGCCGTTGGGCCAGCCAGCGTCCAACCTCTTTGGTGCTAAGAAGCCTCTATTCTCTGCTGGCGCCGCGACTGCTCCTTCCAGCACTTCGTCCGACGCCCGGGAGACTACGCCCTCCGGGACTAAGAGTCTGTTCGACCGCGTGACTAAGGGCGATAATGGACAGCCTCTCCGCGCGGACTCGGCTGAGCCGGCCCCGGCCCCTGAAAAAACAGCTTTTGCGCCGGCCAAGGAGGCTGCTCCGGCCCCGGTCAACGCCACCTGGAACCCCAACTCCCCGATCAAATTCAATGCCAACCCTGCGCCTAGCAATGGACTTTTCGGTGCGTCCACAAACGGATCGAGCTCCATCTTCGGTGCTAAGCCTACAGCTCCTGCAGCTCCTGCATCCAACTTGTTCGGCGCCCCGAAGCAAGATGAGAAGCCCAAGGCCGAGAAGCGGTCTGCTCCTGAGGAGGACAAGGGCGCGGAGTCCGACAAGGAGAACGACTCACAGCGCCCTTCCAAGTCCCCCTTTGGCGGCTTCTCCGGGTTCCAGTCGAAGCCGTTTGAGGCACCCAAGAAGGACGAGGCAGCTCCCAAGGCGGCTGCTGCGCCGACTTTCGCGTTTGGTGCTTCCGCTTCCAAAGCGGAAGAGCCCAAGCCTGCCGCCCCAGCTTCAAACCTTTTTGGTTCCCAAGACAAGCCTGCGGGCTCCGTCATGCAGTCATCGACACTCTTTGGCGGCAGCAAGCCTCAGGAGACTCCCGCCCCCGAACCGGCTAAGCCCCTCTTCGGTGCCAGCACATCGAGCACTTCGACTCCTTTCCAGTCGAACCCTCTCTTTGGTGCCCCGGCACCCGCGTCGAGCACCTCCAACCTTTTCGGTGCTAAGCCCAATGACGAGGGTTCCAAGGCCCCGCAGTTTGCTCCCGCGCCCACTGCGGCTCCTGCCTTCAGCTTCGGCGCTAGCAAGCCGACCGAGTCCGCTGGTTCTCCCTTCGGTGGTAGCCCCATGAAGCAGGATGGCCCGCCGGCGAAGAGACAGTTCAACGCACCCGCTCCCTCTGCCCCGGCCGCACCATCTGGTGGCATGTTCAACTTTGGTGGATCCCAGAGTGCAGCCCCAGCTAACCCCTTCGGCGGCGCTGCGCCTGCGCCTCAGACAAACGGCGGCTCTAGCGGTCCTCCAAGCTTCGGCTCTGGCGGAGGTTCATCCTTCACCTTCAGCGCCGGCGGTGGCGGCACGAGCTTCAACAACCCCTTCGCATCTGCTAACGGCAGCGGCTCGGGTTCTGCTCCCGCGCCTTCGGCCGGCGGCATGTTTAACTTTGGTGGCGGCGGATCTTCCGCCCCCTCGAGCAGTTCTACGCCGTTCCAGTTTGGCGGTGGCTCGTCCGCGCCTGCACCTGCGGCGGCAAGCAGCAGTCCCTTCCAGTTTGGAGGCGGCGCTCCCGCTCAGCCTGCTGCCCCTGCTGCCTCGACTCCCACCTTTACCTTCGGTGCCGCTAATGGATCTGCCAGTGCTCAGGCACCTGCGTCCCAGAAGCCGCTCTTTGGAGCGTCAACCCCGGCGCCTACGAGCAACCTCTTTGGCGGTGCCAAGCCTGCCCAGCCTCCCTCTGGTGGTATGTTCGGTAACCTGAACCCCCCCGCGGGTGCCTCTACCACTGGCACTAATTCACCCTTTAACTTTGGTGGTGCCTCCAGCCTAGCTACGACTCCTGCCACTGGCACTCCCGAGCCGACTACGGAAGCCGACAAGGCCGCTGGTGGTGAAGGCGACGATGCTGATGGCAAGCCTCACGAGCAGCTCAAGCTTACTGAGGGTGGCCCTGGCGAAGAAGACGAGGAAGTACTCCACGACGTTCGCGCCAAGATTATGAAGTTCATTCCGGCCGGATCCGAAGAAGACAAGG